TTAATTACAATGGGCTCAAATTAATATTTGTTTCTACATCTCTTGTATTTATGAATTGAGCTATTCATGTTTACGTTCATGTTAAGTCAGTCATATTAACAGGTCATAACCTTTCATGTGTCACACATCACATAACTCAACCATATAAACAAATAACTTACTTATTGTTTAAGCTTTGAATACATCACCACACAGTGAACACTCACTTCTTAGTTATTATTACTAGTTAAAAGTGAGTTTTTAAGCTATCATTACTAGCTTAGATTAAGCACACTCTTCTCATTAATCACTACTAGTTTATGATGAGCACCCACTTTTCTGCTATTACCACTAGCTTGAAGTTAAGTTTGCTCAGTTATCAATTCTAGTAACTCTTAATTTTAGTACACACTTATCTAAGTAGTCTACCTTGGTAGTAGAGTAATTTGTTTTGAAGAATATTCTTCAAAAACTACAAATTTATAAGTAGTATTATTAACTCCTACATGAGCAGATGTGATGTATACCTCAAATAGCCTATGGCTAAAATGGCTACTCATCACCCTCGTGTTTTTTACTATCAAGTTAAGAGCTAGAACCAACTGACAGTTTTTCATCTTCCTCTTAGGTTCTGTGCATCTCATTTAGCTTATAGCTAAGCTACCTAGTTTGCAACTCAATAACATTTTAGCTTTTAGCTAAATTGTACATTAGAGTTAACTAGCTTGATTTAGCTTGTCTCGGTGTATTTGCTTAGTGTATTCATAACATTTTTCATTAAACTCTTTCGAGTTATTGGAAAATCTTCTCTTATTCAGCCCATTTACAGCTATACGTGCCTTAAACACTAGTATAGATCGTTTTCCTTTAACTATCAGAAAAATTGACATAGTTGGACCAGTTAATTTTTGTTTGTTGTATTACATACACAAACCAGTCATGAATTCATACAAAATTCAATAATATCACATATTAAATAAATTATGTTGTAAATTTGAATTACAATACACATTAAGTAATTCAACTACATAGTTTAATATTATAGTATTAAATAATAAACTTTTATAAAAATAATGTTGAACTTGCATAACAATATAGTTTCATATTATATCACACGATTAATTGTATCACATAATTAATTTAAGAAAAAAGATTTGTGGCTCATTTTCCAATAAACATGCTAGAAAATTAGGACCAAAAGATGTAGACGTTCTAGCCTACAAGAAAATGATATGCACTGATGTTATAACCTATCAAAGGTTTTATATAACGATCCACTCCACCACATAGTATGATATTGTCCACTTTGGGATTGAGTCCGCACGATTTTGTTATTGAGTTTTATCTCAAAAGACCTCGTACCAATTGGAGATAGCACCACTACATAAAATCACTTTACTTTTCCCTTACGTAGGTGGTGTGGGACTGTGCACCTGTAAGTTGCTTAGTGTGATAGCATGTCAGTGCCTTTTGCACCCGCCTACGGCACACCCACCCACAAGGTTGCCACATTATAGGTCTCACTTTAACTTTCTTAGGAGAAAATATAACCTTAGTTAGACACCGCCACATTTTAAAGAATTTATAAGAAGGTTTTCGACCTTTCCATAACTTATATGGTGTCACATTAGTTTAAGGTATTTTATTGAGAACATAATTTGTTGAAAGCAAAACTTCCCTCTAAAATTCTGAGTTAAACCAGAATTTATCAATATAGCATTCATCATGTCTTCATGAATGATATCATGTTTTGAACAAATATTAGCACTAGTGTTTTGATCTTTTTGCTAAGTTGATTCTCAACTTCATTTTTGTAATATTTAAAACATTTCTAAGGTTTTATATTTGCTTCGTAGCAAATATATATAACAATAGCTTGTGCAATCGTTGATAAAACAAACGAAGTACCCTTTTCGACCACTCGTTGATATAAATTTAAGATAATATAATATACTATATCATATTACAAAATTAAAAAAATTCAACTAATATTGAATTATATAGATAATTCAATATTCTACTTATATAACATGCTTCAATTTCATATAATATTGAACATATCAATATTTAACATATTATCATATAATAATGTATATAACATTATTTTATTAGATCTCATTTATTAGTATGATCTCTACTTGTTTATATCTTAAATAGAAGCATATAATAAAACATACGCAATGAGTGAATCTGTCTTAAGATTGTTGGAAAATATATGCTTCATGTGACTTTTAAAATATAACAAACCTTATACTGATATGTTATGAGATAATTAACAATATGTTAAGAAATCATTAATTAAATATGCAACTCTATATTTAATTAAATATGCAAAATAAAGCAATAAAATAATAATAATATACAAGGAATGAATCTAGACCGAGGCTAGTATTGGATACTATGTCCTTAAGACAGATTCGTCCCGCTATGGTGCTAACGGACTCAGTGGCGTCTATCTCCTAGGATACAATGGTCTACATCCACCAGTAGCAGTACTACAAACTCGTGGATACGGCGAACCTCTTCCGTGTAATACTCTCTCTGACTCAAAAATCCATTTATACTATATAAATGCTGAATTGGGTGCAATCCGAACCAAATGGTTCGGACCAATCTTAATATGGCTCGATGAAATTGAATTAGAGTTTAAGTGGTTCAGACCACTTAACCTATGGTTTGAACCCACTTGGGTTGGGTTCAAATCTAGAGAGGGAGATAGAAGAAATTGAAAAATAAATGATTTGCAAATAATCCAAAGGGGGGTATTTATAGGTAACAAGGTGCCTTTTCGGATTGGGTGCAACCCTTTGGAAAAAAAACTAAAAAGTAGTTTTTTAATTAATGTGTCTTTTCGGATTAGGTGCAACCCTTTGGAAAAAACTAAAAAGTAGTTTTTTAAGTAAGGTGCCTTTACAGATTGGGTGTGTCTCTTCATCACTAGATACAACCATTTATATGTGTCTCTTCACACTTGACACATCCACTCCAATTGGTTGCAATGGTTCACATGGTGTCTATTCACCAATAGACACATCCACTCCAATATGTTGTAATGGTTCACATGGTGTCTGTTCACCAATAGACACATCCACTTCAATAGGTTGCAATGGTTCACACGAATAGTTATGTTTATTGGTTTTGAGTTGCAACCCTTTAGAAACAGATGCAACTCTTTGAAAAACAGATGCAGCCCTTTAGAAATAGATACAACCCTTTAGAAAAAAAAAAAACTAACTTTTAATTTAAATTCAAAAACTAACTACCCATTTAAATAAGCCCAGCCCAAAATTAAAGGCCCAATCCAAGATTCCATTTAATAAAAAGAATAATTGGACTTTACAATTAGGCCCAAGCCCAAATTTGGCTTATTTAAATTCCAATTAGTTTCAACATTTTTTTCCATGTGGGACAAACACTCCCCACATTTTGCATACCCATTTAAGCTTATCAAAATACCACACTTTGGAGCTAATTTCTCATTCACCCGGAAGCGGATTTGAGAAAGTAAATATACCACGTTCATCTCATTGCAGAGAGAAACGCGCTCATCTAGAGATCCACAAACAATTATTAGCGGAATCTATTCCAAACCTCATCCAAAGTTTATATTTTTAATGCCCCCGTTTCCAACAATATATATATAAACAATTTAGCATCAGACCTCAATTGTTTGTTTTGCACCGATATAACACACATAATATATATATATATATATATATATATATATATATATATATATATAATATAGAACATAATATATATATACACACACACACATAGAATAAGAAAGAATAAAGATATATTTACAAAATATTTAGGAATATTTTAGTCTTTTATCTAATTATTTAAGTTAATGAGTTGTTTTGACAAAGTTGAAAGATATTTAGGTCATTTTACATTGTGTCAGAACGGTACAAGTAACGGTAGGGGTGTGAGTGAAAAACGGAAAAAAAAATTGTAATATGAGTGATAGTTATTTTAAAAGATGTTTGAAGGTGATATTTGGTCAAACTTGAGGGGGTGTCAGTGAAATTAGTCCTTAAATTTTAGATTGAAGGAAGTTTAGTTTAAAATTTGTACTAAATTTGCTCCTATTCCAAATCCAAGGTGCTTATTTGATGCCTTTAAACCTAGCACAAGTGTTATTGAAGTGGTGGTGATTTTGAGCTTATGCCATTCTTCCGAAGAAAAAAAAGAAAAAGAAAAAAAAGAAGAAATCCTTCTGTTTAATTATGTTCACAAAGACCTTATTAGCTAAAACCTTATTAGCTGATTGTCAAAAAGTAAGAGACCCCCTTTCAAGGTTGCAATGACTTCAGATTTTAGTAGATAATAGAGCTGAGAATGAACAACATTTTTGAACTTGTGGTGTGAATGAATTGCCTCACCTTGTTATGCTAGCAAACATATTAGGATTAGGTTAGTTAAATCTATTTTATTAGGACTTATTTGGATTTATAGTTCACAATTTCTTTTAACCATCTTAAGAATCATGATCTCAAGTTCAAACTAAAAATTGGCCTTTTTTAAATTTTTTTTTTCACCAAAAATATATATATATATATATTCAGTTTAACGAGTAGGAAATGAGATGAATTATTTAAACTCAACTAATAAGATTAGACATTAACTCAGGACACACAATATTGTGACATTAATTTGAAATTTAAAATGATTTTTAGTGGGTCTGACTTTTAATTTTAACCAAATTTTATAATGAGATGAATATAAATTTTAGAATATTCATCTTGAACAGGTCTAATATATTATATACCTATATGTGTACATAAACTGATAACATGTTATATAAATTGAATATTAACGATATGGGTTAGATACAGATTATATTCCTGGACCCAACTAGGGTTCCCTCTAAATATGGATCTGCACTAAAATTTGGAGGTGGGCTCAAATTAAAATGAATTCGTTATCATGCCCTGTCGGCTGTCGGGCTTGGACTATGCCGAATTTGGTTTTAACCCGATTGGGCCGACTTTATTAATACAATAGATAAGTGCACGTTTGCGAATCCCACCATTTTCTGCTAGAGGACGGAGGACCAACCCATGATGTGCGCAGTACGCATACCGATCGTCGCTGCCTCCGCCTTCGCTACACACTCGATCCTAAGGAGAACTTTTCATGCATTTGGAGCCTATCGTCCGATCGACATCAACAACAAGAGGCTTTTTTTCAACAGAACCCTTCTCTCTGTTTCTCTCACAACTAGTCCGAGTCCCTCAGGTGTGTGAATATATATATATATATATATATAGGTTTATCTATTTACCTGAGAAATGGTCACTTCATTTAGCTTAAATGTAGTACTTATCTAATTTCGATATTCCATATAGTTGATTTTAGAAGAATTTGATTTGTGGCTCATGATAACTGTTGAACAAAGAAAATTAATTTTGTATTTGATGGAAACTACAATAGACGGTTTTATAATATTTACTTTTTAACAAAATAAAGCTAAATTGACTAATATGGTGTGTGTTCCACGAAAAGTTTCAGTTAGTACTGCCTGAAACCGGGTGTGTGAAGAGAAAGCAATAGTTGTAAGTTGAAAGATTACAGTGAAGCGTAGGATATAGTTGAAAGTTGAAAGATTACAGTGAAGTGTAGGATTTTGTGGGTAGTTTGTGCCTCAATTTGGTGCACAATTAGTGTATGATGTGATTGCAGGAGATATGGCAATTGTTGCCGGGTAGGCAACCACACATCCTGTGTTTCCCCAATATAGCACCAGAAATGAAGCCTTGTGTGACAACCAGTCTTGAATGCCACTTTTTTGGGCAATTTCCCACATAATTTGCTTGGGTAGCTTGAAGCCGCTTGTTGGCTGTGCACAGTACATCCATTATGAATACTACTGAACGTCTCAGACATTGAACCTTAAGAAACAATCATTTGAGTAATGTTATCCATTGTCAACTCCAATAGCAATGGCATTTTTTTTAATAAATGTTATCTTCCAAATCCTGTATCAAGTAGCAACACGAACCTCTCCGTCTTGAAGATTGAATTGTTGCACTACGATGGGGCAATGACAATAGTTGATACCATTGACTAGTCTTATTTATATAACTCAATCACTACATTAATGACCACCATCAGAGGGATGTCATTTTGTAGAAAACCCATATGCTTAATCTTGAAGAGCAAATAAAAGTGCAGGCTTTTAAATTATAACCTCTTATATATTAGAAGATGACTTATTTAGTAATATTATTCATCCTCTATGCAATACCACTTTAGGAATATGTCATGTAGCACAAGCTATAAAGGGTGGTGATGATGTTTTACTCAACGGAGTTGGAGAGAGTGCCACTGAAGCTGTGAAGCAAATAATTGAAAAGGTATTTTCTTTAGTTGTTTACAATTTTTCTAAACAACTACTGCACACGCTCACATGTGAAGAACTTTTCATCTTTCTTGGTTATTTTCCTTTCCTCCATAGAAAGAATAAAAATTTTAAGTTCCTGGACTGTTTAAAGTGAACGTAAAGGCTATTACTTAGTTATTAAGGGAAGGGTTATTCTATTTTACCAATCTTTGTCCGCATTACTTAGGCAAACCGGGCGTCATCAAGAAGAGAAGTTCTCCATACAGATTTTCTCACACCACCTGTACTGAAGGAGTCGATGCTAGCATTGGAAAAATTAGCTGACACCGAAGCAGTCGTTCAAGGAGGATACCCACAGGTTGACCTGAAATAATAGCGGTTGGTTTCTATCTATATTACATGAACTCAGATACATGTGTTTGGGGAGGATATGTATCTAAGTATTGGATTCATGAAATACACAGCTAAATAATTTTGTTCGTTTTTTTTTTTTTTTTTTGTCTCTCCCTCCTAGAGTGAAATGTTGTTCTTGTGTAACATAAATACGAGAACTTCACTTGTTTTGAAGCAATAATGCAGAACAATTAATATAATACCATAGTATTTTGTACAATTATATTAAAAACTTGAATTATCATATATGCTCGCTAGGTGCATGTCCATCTGAATATGTTAAGACACATATCCCGTACCCGTACTCATTACCGTACCCGGTGGTGTTATGTCCGACCTGGACACTTCACACATTTAGCGGAGTCCATGTAAAATAGGTTTCTGCTTGATTTTGTGTCAAATGTTACTATCATTTAAAGGTTGAATATATTGCAAACATTTTAGGCTGAGCGCTGTCGCCTTTTGGTTGGACATTCAGAAGCATTGACAACTGTTCCAGATATAGTTGCAGCGATGAGGTGAGTCATTAACATCTCTACCATTTTGGTAATTTTAGTATCATCCAAGGTATACATCAATGAATCCTATGTTTATATCAGTTAATTGGTGCTCTTTTCAGTATCACGGGAAACTTTGGGTTTCAACCTTGTTCTCATGGTGACTTCCTTGGCGCAATTCTTCGTACAGGGATTGCTAGGGAGAAGCTAGGAGACATAATCTTGCAGGTATTATCATCATCTTTGATACATATGCTAATTTTTTTTAACCATTTGCAAGCTTTTTGTGTGAATATTGTACTATTTGAAATGAGTTTGCTTTGAAAGGCCGGGACTAGTACCGCTCAGTGAAACTTCATCTGTAATCTGATTCATATACTGTGTGTGATTACCTTACCTAAAATATGACTTCTTAATTCGTATTCCTGTTGCTTCTTTGAGATCTGGTTGCTTTAGGAAATATGCGTGTCTGTGGAATCAGTGTGAGGTGCTTTTGTTTCCATCAACTAATTTTTAGCACTTTTGAATGGGGGGAATTTCTCAGTGGCTGATACCCTTGCTTAAAATCTGTTTGATTGGTTTCCTTGTTTGTTGTAGATCAATTTGTGAGTTAGGTACAGTCATTAGACAGATTAGTTATGGCACTGGAGAGTTTCATTTTGGGTTTCCATTGACTTCACATTGCAGTATTTATTTTTGTATTTAGCCCATAATGGGTACTTGTCGAAAAGGAAGACAAAAGATCTGTGATGTTCTGCCTTTTCTTTTAAATTAATTTTTATGTTAATCATTTGCCTGCTTTAAGGGATGATGATTTGTTGGGTTGCATCTTGCTTGTCTTTCTGCTGTGCAGGGAGAAAAGGGTGCTCAAATTCTTATTGTTCCAGAACTTATTGACTTTCTGACATCATCATTGGACAAGGTAATGATACATTCTTATATCTAGCCTTTGTGTAAGCTCTTTTTGCCTTTCTTGATGAATATTAAATTTTAAGGAATTGCCTTTGTTTCTCGGAGTGAGAGTGGGTGTTAGCACAATGGTAAGGTTGTTCCATCATGAACTGAAGGGTCACGGGTTCAAAACGGGAAATGGTTCCTCTGCATGTGGAGGTAAGGCTGCATACTTCTGACCATCCTCAGACCCTGAATGGCAGGAGCCTCGTGTACTAGGCTAGCCCTTAGCCCTTTGTTTTTGGGAGTACTTTATGTTGTTCAAATATAATTTGCACTGATATACAGAAATCTTTATTTCAGCTTCATGAGATTTTTGATTGATTATATTATGGTAATTTGTTTGTTGGTTTCACTAGAAAATAATGCAACAGGAACTAATGCCCTCACCTGCCTCTGTTTTTTTTTTTTTTTTTTCCCCTTATTAAAAGTTACACTAAAGAAAATACAAAATTGAAATAATCTTGTAAATTACTATGGTTTGAGAAAATCATGCACGGAAAGGATATGCCTCAGATTATGCCATGCGAATCCATTCTAATAAACCTAGAAAAATATAGAAACTGCAAACAGGTATTCTTTCCAAATAGGTGTCAACAACCCACCTGACATATGTAAGCCATATTGCTCTATGGAGTAGTAGTTACCTCAGTAACTTCTCCAATACAGCTCCGTAATATACTTTTCTCTTGCAGGTTGGTAATGTTCCGGTCTCATGTAAAAGGATACCACTACTTGCTATTGTATATGAACCACCAAGGTCACAAACCGTTCATTGGTGATCTTTTGTTTCAATTATTTGACACATTTCATCTGGCATCAGTAATAGAATGCACACAGCTGTTTATGGTCTGCAGGACAAAGTCTTTCAAAACTATCGAAGCATCATTGAGGGTTGATGCTATTGCTAGTGCAGGATTTAAAACTTCAAGATCAAAATTAGTTGATTTGATCAGGTATATCCTATTATATTTAGATGGAATTCATTCTGAGGTTTTTGGTTTTATATTGTATTTTTCTGGTTACAGAAGGGGTGTATACCTGTCAAACTTGTCAATCTAAAACGGAAAATTAAATCATTTTGTTTCACAATTTTCTATGACATTTGTTCTGTTGCTTAATTGATGATTATTGCATCCATTAAGCAGGACACCTATCAGACTTGTGAATTTAAAACTAAAAGTTTTATTGATTCAAATTATTTTGTTTCCTCAATTTTCTGTGAAATCTGTTTTGTAACTTTTGTTGCTTGCTGGATGATTATAGCATCTGTAAAACATGCATATTTTTTTCCCCCAAATATTAAACACGCATCTTTAACTTAACAACACCACGAAGTCGTATCCTAACTAGTTGACGCTGGATGTATAAATTTCTTGCCATCCCAGTGCTTGTGAAGTGTGACCCCACATCTGACTTGTCCTACTATAGGTACCACACGGCGGTGTCTACCATCGACGATACATTAATAAATTTATGCACTTATTGGGTTGGAAAATTTTATATTCAGCATTCTATTTTTTTTTTTGGGTAAATGTAGTTACTAGTGTTATGTCAGTCTTTATAATGATGATGATGATGAGTGTTATGTCAGTCTTTATGTGTTTGGTTGTGGATGTTGTTGCTTCTTATTATCGTTTGGCATTAGTTAAATAATATTCAGAGGTTGGAATAGTTGACTTTGCCAGATTTTCACATTTTTGAGAAGTCTCCGATTTGTATATCTGTTTCCTTCAGTAATTCTGATGGTTAATGGATGATCTTGAGAATTTTTCCACTTAAAATTAAACAGTCAGATTCCATAGATTCTTCCTAAGCGAGACTTCCACAAAGCCTTAGTGAGATTTTATGATCTTCTTCTTCTTCTTCTTCTTCTTTATTTATTTGGACTACTGTACACTATTTCACCAACAACCAACTTTCTTTATCCCAATCTTTAAACTTCAAAACTAACTTTCATTGTTATAATCATGATCCTGCCTTTGAACTTTATATGGTTCCAATCTTCCCCCCCACCCGCTGTAAATCTATCATTCCAATCTTTGGATCATCTAAGTATTTGATTTTTATTGTCTTATTTGGGACTGAACTTCTCAGAAATTATGTGGCATTGCTGAATGGCATTCTTCCTTCACTCTTTCTACTTATTTTGGCTATTTGCAAGAATTGCTGCTTTCTTGACAAATAATTTGCCTTCTATGATTTTTAGAGGTTATATTTTTATATTGCTTTGGACATTATCCTTTTTAACGAATCTGATGTTGGATGTATACACCTGAAGGTACTAATTGCCAATACTGTATACGTTAAATAGATTTCACTAACTATATGATAAATTTTTTCCTTTCCACAAATGTCGATTATATTTGAATATTTATGGATCTGTAGAATATAGCAGCCATGAGCTAAGAAATGAATTGAATGGTCCAATTTATGATGGAGCATAATTATTTAATGTTCTTTCTATTTTTCAGAAATGGGGATGTGCGCGTCAATTGGACCACGGTGACAAAAAATAATACCACAGTCAAGACTGGAGACATCATCTCGGTTAGTGGTAAAGGAAGACTGCAGGTAAGCTATCAATATCGGTGAAAAATGGCTGTTAAAGTATCTCAAAAGTCATATGTATTTAGCCTTCCTATGTTTGCTGAAACTCTTTGAGTTTACCTTTGGTTCAGATAGGAGAGATAAATACGACGAAGAAGGGTAAGTTTGCGGTCGAGCTCCTTCGATATTTATAGTCTCAGCGCGAGGTGCCAACTAAAGATCATTTTCATCGAGTTTAAACAGTTGCTCCTGGCTGCCTTGCCTGTTTGTTCTCTCAGGCGCTGATTTTTTTTTCCTCCCGGGGACAAATTGGTTCTCATATAAGTTTAAAGCAAATTTTCCAAGAAAGTTCAAGTATTAAAGTGCTACTATTTAACATGATAATATTGCGTATTGTGATGCGTCCAAACCATCTCATGACTTCTATTTCTTTTGTGTCAAATATGATCAGCAACTTTACAATACTTGTTTTGTAGGCAAAGAGATTAGAAATTATCTTTATACAATGTAACATATATTTACAAATGTGAACTGAGATTTCAAAATAATTCTTCTTAAGAAAATATGCCTTAACATGAGAGGACTTTGAAAGCTGTTAAGAGCTGGATTGAATGGGTGTGGCTGAAGAAAGCATGAAGACATGGCCTTTCTTCTTGTTGAGTTTTGAAAGCTCTCTCTCTCTCACACACACACGCACGCACGCACGCAAACACAGAAAATAGGAAAGGTCTATTATGGGTTTGGGGGCCCTCAGCCCATCCATTCAAAGGGCATGAGAGCGCGAGTGCCGTGAAAGCACTCTTATAGTATACTTGTTTTCTGATTTTTTTTTTTTTTTATCAAGATATTGTGTTCTCATAATATTCTCTCTTATGTATATACACACATGAATTTGACTTAAATTTGTTTAGAGATGATTTTCTGATAAAATCGAGAGAATTTTTTTGGATGGCTGCAATATTCAGGGATTTATTTTCCTGAACGATGTTTTTCCGAAACAAATATGATTATATCGATAAATTATTTACCTTCAAACTTTCTAAGGATCACATTTTCAATTCATTCCCTTCTACAAATTTCAGTACTTTTCCAACCCTTTGGAAAGAACAAAATTGCTAAAATAAACAAAAATTTAAGTCTGAAGTATATGGGAATAAGAAATTATTATATGATTTCCAAATTATTGGCTGTAGCCCAATCATTATATGACACATTAATATAAAAAAAAGTGTTTACACTGAAATATATATATATTTATATATATATTGATGTGTCACATATTAATTGGGCTGGGACGAATGAAATAATTTCTCTTATAATAGGTATTGCTGGGACCATATGATGTGGTGGTCCCGGACCACGTAATACATGAAGATCAGCATCGTGATATATACTTGAGAAATTATTATATGAATCAACCCCATACACCTTACTCGGCTGAGTTGGTGTAATTCTAAACACATGTAATAAAAAATTATTTTTATATTCAATTCACCACGTCCGCTTTGCAACATCTCTCTCCCCTTTCTCCTCGTTCAGCCTTCCCAATCGGCTCCATCTATCTTTATTCTCGTTCTTAACTCTGAACTTGCCCTCTCTCTCTCTCTCTCTGCAACTACAAACTACAAAAGCTACAAGAATCAGAAGTTCAAAACCCATATAATTCAGTTTATCCATCTGTCTGCAAGAATCAAAAGTTCAAAACCTATTACCTATATCAAAACACCTATTACCTATATCAAAACCCATATCGGCATATCATTTCAGATTGTTCAAAAATCAAAACCCATATCTTTCAGTTTCCATCGCCCGCTGTTCCAGTTCGGGTTCGCCGTTCGCAAGCTTCAGCCGAACCCATATCGGCATATGATTTCAGATTGTTCAAAAAACCAAAACCCATATCTTTCAGTTTCCATCACCCGCCGTTCCAGTTCGAGTTCGCCGTTCGCAAGCTTAGCCGCTGTCTCTCAACTCTCAAGCTTCCCCCCCCCCCCCCCCTTCTCTCTCTGCAACTGCTAACTTGAGAATCGCGGGAGCGACACGCACCCACGCACTCCTGTCAGTATATCTCACTCGCTGCCACACGCTTCTTCTTCAGCATCGTCCGGCGGTGGATGTCCTTGGTGGATTCGTACTTTGGTTCGTGGCCACAACCGGGGAATCAGACCATCACCAAAACTGCACAATCCCTCCAACCAGTCCTACCATCACAATCTGATCGCTCACGTGATGGCCCAACCACACGCGACCCTTTTAACTCACCATCGATTTAGAGAGAGAAAGAGGAGAGAGAGACTATTGGGTTTTGAACCTCTGATTCTTGTAGATTTTGTAGTTTGCAGTTGCAGAGATATAGAGGGGGGGGGGGGAGTTGAGAACGAGAATAGAGATAGATGGAGGCCGAAAGAGGAGAGAGGTGTTGCAAAGCTGTGGCAAATTGAATATAAAAATAATTTTTTTATTACATGTGTCTATAATTAATTGGTGTAGTCTACCAACTCAGCCAAGAGAGGTGTATGGACTTGGCCGATGCAATAATTTCTCATAAACTTGGGCTGGACGGTCTGAGGAGCCTATACGAGGGAAGCCGTCAGGCCCTACTTGAATTTTTAAACTAACGGCTCACACAAGTTAAAATTCAAATTCTCTCTCCCCCCTCTCATTCTCCCTCTCACTCCTCTGCACTTTCTCCTATCCCAATGGCGACTACCAATTCCTTCCTCACCACACCAACCAAGACCCCAAGCGACAAGTCCACCTCTTCGTCCGCATCCAGAAAACACCACCAATCAACGGACGCATCTCTTTCCAGCCGATCAGCTTCCGAATTCAAGAGCCGATTCGAGGCCTATAATCGCCTACAGGCAGCCGCAGTGGCCTTTGGCGAGAAGCTACCGATCCCTGAGATTGTCGCTCTCGGTGGGCAGTCCGATGGCAAGAGCTCGCTCCTCGAAGCCCTTCTCGGCTTCCGATTCAACATTCGCGAGGTTGAGATGGGCACCAGAAGGCCTCTCATCCTTCAAATGGTCCACGATCCAACAGCGTTGGAGCCACGATGCCGATTTCAGGTAATTCCGTATCCATGGGATCTTATGATTATTAGGGTTCTTATGGTTTCTAGACTTTCATACGTTTATCAGTCTAGGGTTTCATTTCCTTTAAATTTGGGTTCTTTTACTTGTGAGAATTAAAACTTTGGCTTTTATACTTGATTGTGAGTTTGGGTTTGAGTATTATTGCTGCATGTAGTATCTCTTTCCAACTTCATTTTTTTAGTTTGAATGCTCTGGTTGGTTGCCAGGAATTGGATGAAAAAAAAGATAAAATTTTGAAACTGTATTCTGGTTTTGTTTTTGGTTTCTGAGAGAGGAAAACCCTAATCAAGTAAATTTATAGACGCATTTGGCTGAATTGAGTTGATATTTTATCCCATTTTTCTTAGGAAGTACAGAGATCCTCAGTTTTTTTCACCAACCAAACAAATTATTAGGGTTTCAGATATTGAGAATTGAACTTTAAGCCACTTAAGATGTTATAACTTTGAGAAACAACGCTAATGAGTTACTTCTGCTTTACTCGGGTCTAGCTCTGGTGGTATCCTCCTCTCACACGAGTGATTGTGGTTTCAAGTCCTCATTTGGGCATAATTGAGGGTCTGTCTTTTTGGTTTCTTTTGCTCTGTTGTATTCTGCTCTGTGTGTGTGTGTGTCAGATTCAATTAATGTGCACCATATACTGAAGTTTGCTATTAAAACAGGAGGAGGACTCTGAAGAATATGGAAGTCCCGTTGTTTTAGCATCTGCAATTGCAGATATCATAAAGTCACGAACAGAATTACTTTTGAAGAAGGCTAAAGCTGCAGTTTCTTCTAAGCCAATTGTGATGAGAGCTGAATATGCTCATTGTCCTAATCTCACCATCATTGATACCCCTGGTTTTGTTCTCAAGGTATGCTGTCATAGAATGAAGATATCAATGGACAAATGTTTGGAACTTTTGCTTCATTAAGGTTTCTTCTGTTTGCGTTGAAGTAATGGTTTGAAGCTGCATTGGCAGGCAAAGAAGGGTGAACCAGAGAACACACCGGATGAAATTCTAGCAATGGTGAAGTCATTGGCCAGTCCGCCCCATCGAATTCTTTTGTTTCTTCAACAGAGTAGTGTGGAATGGTGCTCATCTTTATGGTTGGACGCCATTCGTGATATTGATCCGACCTTTAGACGGACAATAATTGTCGTCTCTAAATTTGATAACCGGCTGAAGGTACAATTATGCAACATTTCTCAGTTAAAGCTTCGATAAATGTAATGATATGGAGAATATGATAGATCAATTACTGACACCATTACATGTCCTCCAATTGACGAGAGATGCATCAAAACATTTTACTAGATGTTATCTTCATTATTATATTAGAAAATCAATGATAATTTCTTAATTAAATGTTTAAAGCAAGTTAAGCAACTAATTTGATGTTTCATTTCCTTATTTTGATTTTGAGAACAATGATTTTAAATAAAATGGAGAATGATATATATATATAAAGACGCTGTTGTTACTCCAACAAACAATATGGAGATAAATTGTTCTGGGTTGCTTTTGTAGGTTTTGTGAACAACTGGAATAACTTTTTGTAAATGGCGTAATGAAAGAAACCTTGTTTCCCTGGTGTTGCACAATGCAATTGGTTTCTAAATGTGTTAAATTTAAATATTTCTGTATTGTTCAGGAGTTTAGTGACCGATGGGAAGTGGATCGATATTTGAGTGCAAGTGGTTACCTTGGAGAGAACACTCGCCCATTTTTTGTGGCCCTGCCAAAGGACAGGAGCACAATTTCGAATGATGAATTCCGCAGGCAAATATTGCAGGTGGACATTGAAATATTGCGTCACCTGCGTGAGGGTGTTAAGGGGGGATTTGATGAAGAAAAGTTCAGGTCTCACCTTGGTTTTGGCTGTCTCAGAGATTATTTGGAGTCCGAACTTCAAAAGCGATATAAAGAAGCTGCACCAGCAACTCTGGCTTTGCTTGAACAACGCTGCAACGAAGTCACTGTTGAACTAGCGAGAATGGACTCCAAAATACAAGCCACTTCTGATGTTGCACATCTTCGGAGATCTGCAATGCTGCATGCCGCTTCTATCTGCAACCATGTGGTGGGTAATAGTAGACAATTTATTATTTTAATCATGAGCCTCATAAATGTACCTAACTTTGCTGTTTAAGGATAGGTAATATTGAGTTGTTGAAGTCCAAACTCTCTTGTAAAACATGTTATTTTGAGAGTATAAATCAATGAAGCACATGGTTGCTCTAGAAAGCAAGTGTGAGAACACATATTCGAGTCTGGGGATAGTCACTTTGTGCAAATAATGCCAAATGTTTCATCTGTACCCAGTCTACCCTTCACAACATCCTTGATTAATAGGGTACACTGGATAAGTTTTTTTGAAACATTGCTTTTTCTGATTACTGAAGGGAGCATTGATTGATGGAGCAGCAGATCCTTCCCCAGAGCAATGGGGGAAGACAACAGAGGAGGAACAGTCGGAGAGTGGGATTGGGAGCTGGCCTGGCGTTACAGCAAACATTAAACCTCCTAATGCCACCCTTCGACTCTATGGGGGAGCTGCTTTTGAAAGAGTGATGCATGAATTTCGGTGTGCCACATACTCTATGGAATGTCCTCCAGTATCAAGGGAGAAGGTAATTTTTCTCCACAAGCAATTTATACTGGGATTTGAAGACCATAGGGTTTTTATTTTTGATAAATTGTGACAGGTGGCAAATATATTACTTGCCCATGCTGGTCGAGGTGGAGGGAGAGGAATTACTGAAGCAGCTGCAGAGATTGCACGTGCTGCTGCCCGATCATGGCTTGCTCCTCTTCTTGACACTGCATGTGATCGGCTAGCTTTTGTTTTGGGGAACCTCTTTGGTCTTGCTGTTGAGAGAAATCACCACTGCTGCTCAGACTGTAAGTATTCCTTGTGAACTTTTACCCATAATTGACAGTATGCTTCCACTTGAATTAGAAAAGTCTTAGATGATCATATTAAACTACATAAGATTTTCCCATGGCATGGGTATTCACTGGATATAGTAATAATATTAGTAACAGAATCATTCAAAAGTTCATCATTTTCTAAATAAATTATGGAATTCTTAGTCACTTATGTTTTTAATGACAATTTCACCTTCACGAGTATCAGTTACTGCCGGTTTTAAATTATTTTCTATAAAGCTAAATTTGAGTTGTAGTAAGTCTAATATTTTTATGCTCTGGTATATTGTAGCGAAGCAAAAACTTTAATTGGTGGCATCTTTCTCATGGTGTCCACGACTCAAGATCCTAAGATAGATTTAGAATAGTAATGATATGTATCTATTATGGGGAAATGAGACATGAACAAAGCAATACAAAGAAGAAGAAACATAGCCCTAGACAAGAATTTATTTCTTTCCGTTTTTTGGTTGTTGCATGTTCTTACTCAAAACTAGTTAAACTATATGCTGTCAATAATCTTTTTTTTTTATTATTTATTTTCCCTGTAGATGGGAGGAAAAATGGAGACATGGATGGGTATGTGGGTTTCCATGCTGCTTTAAGACACTCTTACAACTGTTTTATAAAGGACCTTGCAAAACACTGCAAGCAGCTAGTTCGGCACCATCTTGATTCAGTTACAAGCCCATATTCTCAGGTCTGCTATGATACTGACTTAATGGGGAGCTTCAGCTCAGGTGCAAACTCTTTTTACAGATTTAACCAGGCATCCACTGCTTCTTTATCTCTTGAGCTATCTGATGGGGGGGCAGCTTTGCGTGATGAAACTATGAGAGACCAAGAGAATATACCTCCAGAAAAGAGTGCACAGCAGACCACTCCAGGAAAAGGTGCAGAAGCCAGAGATGCACTGACTGTGCCCGAGACCCCATCACCTGATCAGCCATGTGATGTAGTTAAGAAGGAACTTGGAAACTGCATTGAGATTGGAGCAAGAAAACGGCATTCAAGAATGTTAGGCAATAGCAGAAATCCAGATCATCTGAGAGGCCAAAATGGTGGTGGTCTTCTATTTGCAAATGGAGAAATTGGTTCAAGATCAGGCTCAGTATACTCAGAGATATGTTCATCAGCTGCACTGCATTTTGCACGGATACGTGAAGTTCTTGTTGAGCGAAGTGTAACTTCAACCTTGAACTCTGGCTTCTTAACCCCTTGGTAAGCTTTTAAGATTCTTTTTCTCTCAAACTTATTTGCATGCACGTGAATATGCATATCTAGGGCTGCTTGCTTGCTGCAATGGTATGCATATCCAGATAAACATCTGAATGCAGAATACATTGTAAGATAATAATAATTATTGTAGCACCCACCTTACTGACTATTGTACTGCACCGTTGACTCCTAATGGCACCCTCTCGAGGAGGAATATGTTCTGTCTTTTTCCAGAATACAAGGTGCACAGAACAATTTCCGTCTTATTTTTTTTATTTATTTATTTTTCATTCCTTACTGTTTTGGGCTTTAAAGAACTAGTTGGTTTTGGTTTAGTTTGGCTGACCAGGCTTTTTTTTTGTTTTTTTTGATAAGTCGGCTGACCAGGCTATATTACTAAATATCTATTGACATGCTTCAGGCAACCTTTTTTCATTTAAATATTGACTTCTACCATTTCCGTTACACATTCACAAACGAATTGAATATGAATTTATGCTTGCTCATTGATTCTCTTGCTTTAAATTGTGAGACAATGTGGCTATTCTGTTGGCATTGATCAGGTCTGTTTTCTAGACATTCAGTTGAAATTGGGCTGTAAATTCTGTGGAGAAATGTATTTTCAAATTTAAGATGTCCTAGTGTGTCATCTAGGTGGAAATCCTTGGTTCCTTGATATTTATATATATATATATATATATATATATATATTTGTATATGCCAGATTGAACCAATCAAATTTCATCCTACTCATCTGAGCCAAACTTTATTGTATTTCCAGTAAGATTGGCATTGGGACCATCATTTTGCGCTCTCCGAACTAAACTTGTTCTATGTTATTTAAGTTCAATTATTCTGTTGATACCACAATAGATAGTTAATTATTAGCAATTTATTCTTATCTTATTTTCTTATTTATGCAGCCGGGATCGGCTAGTGGTAGCACTCGGACTGGATTTGTTTGCTGCAAGTGATGAGAAATTCATGGATATGTTTGTTGCACCTGGAGCAATTGACATCCTTCAGAGTGAGCGGCAGTCTATTCAGAAGCGTCAGAAAATACTTCATTCTTGCTTGAATGAGTTCAAAAGTGTGGCGCGGGCACTTTGATCAATACCCTTTCTCTTTAAACAAAGTTTCATAGACCATTAGAAGGGAATCTGTGAAGGTTTTTAACATGGTCAACCAATATGAAATTTTCAACGCGGCTTTCATAACATTCTCTATCATGGTGAGTTAGTTGCTTGTGTTTGGTTCCATAAAAAGACTTCACTTTTACCAATTGTGAGTGAACTTATTAGTGATTTTTTTATTTTTTATTTTGTTGTTGTGTGCACAGATTATTCTTCCTTTGACTCCATGAAAGCAAAAGAAGAGGCTCCAGAGGATTCACATCTAGTGAACATTTACTCTTTAGGAGTTTCATATAGTATCTTGTCTCGAGGTGAGTTGCTTCCGTTTGGTTTATTCAAGACGATGATTTAGTTTTTCAATTTGATTGTACTTCGAGTGGAACTGAAACAATTACTTATGTGAATTTACTTTTAAGAATGAAGCTTTTATAAAACTAAATTATAAAAGCACTTGGATCATTAGTTCTCCTAGGCTGTTTCAATGGACTATCACACAAATTATGTCTGTCACTTAATTTTTAAGCATTGCTTCTCTTTCTGGTCTCTCTATATGGAAATGATGAATTTGTGGTCACCTGCTATTTTAACTTCAAATCCAAGTAATGCTCACTTTCTTGTGTAATATTCAAACACAACACTAACCCATAAAACATAATGTTGAAAATGAGCATTTCTTGAAGAGCTCTCTCTCTCTCTCTCTCTCTCTCTCTCTCTCTCTAATACTTTAAAGAACACAGAGAGACTAAAATAATAACATATACCTACTGTAAAATGGTCCCCCCATTCCAGCTCCAATAGTCCAACGTCCCCATTACCAGGAACCTAGTCCAACAATATAAAATTATATAGGGAATTTTATATTCTCATCCCTCCCATATATCATATTTCCCATTTGCCCCTCCTATGCCTTCTCATACTTGACATAATGCATGGCACTCTCTCTCTCTCTCTTCCTCTTATGCTTTGCTATGAAGCATGAAACCACCTCCCCTTGATACTACAGATTTTGAAATAAAAAATAAAATCAAGTAAATAAAAAACCCTTTTTTATTTTTTCAAAAATTGAAACAAATTGTTTTGTATATGTTGACAGGACTCAATTCAAATTGGTTTTTTGGCAATGCCCTTGATTGAATTGCCTCTTTAAGTTGAAAATTGATTGGAATTTATAGTGAGTGGCCGGTTCAAACATGTGCCCACTGCCCAGACAGAAGACTGAGTTTTAGGCGGACCCTACTAGGGTTAAGTATTAAAGTAGTAGGATTCTCCTAATGTTGTCACTATTCCAAACAAATAACCACAAAAAAAATGCCAACCAATGCAAACATTGTTTATATACTTCTTAGTCAAGCCGGGCCAATCAAAGTTTATATTATCTGTGTTAATATTCTTTACATAATTTTCAACCATTCACTATATATATATATATATATATATATATATGTATGTATGTATGTATATAAAGTAGTCAATAAAGAATGACCTATATGTCATCATGTGAAAAGCTTAAAAGCACCCAAGTTAAATGGGATTTAAGATGTCTTCAATTTCTTTTTCTTTTGGGTTACAATTTCAAAGGTAGTCGATCTTATCATTATAGATGTAGGATTTGAAAAGGAAAAATTGCAACTAACGTGGAATCATTGTCATCACTACATGAAAAATGATTGTTCACTGCATTTCAACTGTCCAAAAATTTCACTTTCTAGCTTCAAAATAAATTACTCGAAGTCGGTTTGCAAAATGTCTGCGGGATCGAAAGTCCAAGTTCTACAACGTACATGCATCTAATAAATGTCACACTAAAAGCCATGGACATTATACTTTCCTACCCTCCCTCTCTCTCTCTCTCATCAGCTTCCATGTCGCAGTCTCACTCATCTTATCTTTGACATCTTTTTGCTTCCTTTTGTTGATGTGACGATGAGAATAAATTTATAGTAACAAACTTTGAAAACTCAGAAGCATTTTAACGTAGACAGTTTTGCGATTTTAAGTTCCTTTACTTTCTGTTTTCTAAATTTTGAACTTTTTCTGCCAACGACCGGATCTTCTCTGTTACAAAATCTTACCGTACTTTCCAATGCATTGACAACTCTATTAGATAGAGTGAACAACACTCTTCAATCAGTAATGATGTTTGAAACTTTTTTTTTTTTTTTGGTTTTTTTATGATGTTGAACCTTTAAAATAAGAGGTATTGCATATTTGATCGCAGTTAAAAATATATATATATAATTTAACAATCCCAAAAATGAGAGTACTTTGAAAAAACTTGTCTTAAATGTTTGTCTACTGAGCATTGCTTTCTTTGCAATCAGTATAATAATAAAAAGTCATAGTAACAAATCTGGGGATAGAAATTCAAGAGTAGCAAAAGAAAAATCCAAGTATGAGTCAGAATTCATTTTTTCCTTCCACCACCTGAGTAGTAGATGGAGTGGTCCTCAACAATGCTTTTAATCTTTGCACAACTTGTGATTCCTTTTGGCAATAGGTAATAAAATTGGACCCTTTTAGGTCATTCTAAATATATTACTATTTTACTGCATGCTGTATAAATGATCTCACCGTCTCCATACTTTGGTAAAAAAAAAAAAATTATTTTTTTCCAATTACGAATAAAAAAAATAATAAATAATTTTTTTTATTTTAAAAAGAGAAAATTACATATAAATGGAGTCAAAGTTTCATATTTACTTAGAGACTGGGTCAAAGTTCCATATTTCTTATAAATGGATTGCTGAGGTGGCACATGATTTTTTACTGTTTAAAAAATTGTGGTGCCTAAAATGCCCTTCCCTAATAAAAAAAGTAGTACCTTCAGTTCAAAAAAGTAGTACCTTCAGTTCAAAAAAGTAGTACCTTCGGAGAAAAAGTAGTACCTTCGCGAGTGTTTAAAAAACATGGTACCTGGACGCCAAAAAGTAGTACCTTCAGTTCAAAAAAGTAGTACCTTCGAAGAAAAAGTAGTACCTTCGCGGAAGGGTATTTTAGGCATCACAATTTCTAAACAGTAAAAAACCATGTGCCACCTCAGCAATCCATTTTAAAAAAATATAAAACTTTGACTCAGCCTCTAAGTAAATATGGAACTTTAACTCCATTTATATGTAATTTTCCCTTTTAAAAACGGAATATCTGAATCCCAAACACACGCAAGAGAGTATGAAGTAGGGGGCTCTGAAGTCAAAGCTGAAATGTGTGGAGATTGAAATTTCCTAATACTAGCCACTTGATGCTGATGGACCAAATTCCCAATACAACCAATGCCCTCTCGCTTTTTATTATCTCAGAGACCGTTGGGTTGCATTTTCTCGGTAACCAATCAATGCCACCCAACCCCACCAAAAAGCAAAAAACAAAGAAAGAAAAACAAGAGCGAGAAAAAAAAGTTTAGAGAGAGAGAGAGAGAGACAGAGAGAGGCGCAACAAAACAATAGCAAATAAGCAACTCCCTTCTCACCAAGCCTTGTTTTTCACTCATCCATCTCTTTTTCTCCACCCAACCCACGGCCCGAGCCTGTCCCTCTTTCTCTCTCTAGACAGACAGAGGTGGCTGGGGAGTTAGAGAGAGAGAGAGACTCATCGATGGAGATCACCTCTACCTCCAGAGCTCAGGAGAGAGAAAACCCATCTCCCATTAACTCCCCACACAGCAATGGAAGCAGCAGCAACAGCAATGGAGTCCAATTTCAAACCCCAAAACCCATCTCTAGATGTGAAGTCAATCCATACCCAACTACCTTTGTCCAAGCAGACACCACTTCATTCAAACAGGTAGTTCAGATGCTCACCGGATCGTCCGACACGGCCAAGCATGTCTCCAAAACGCCCCACTCCGATCCACCACCGTCCAAGAATTGCATACCACCAATCAGGAGTGGACAAAAGAAACAGGGTTTCAAGCTCTACGAAAGAAGGAACCAGCTCAAGAACAGCCTCATGATCAGCCCTTCCATGCCCGGCTTTGCTCAAAATCCCGGCTTTTCGCCACGCAAACCGGAGATCTTGTCGCCCAGCATACTTGACTTCCCTTCTCTTGTGCTCAGTCCGGTCACGCCATTGATTGAAGAGGCATTAAACAAGTCTTCCCCTTCCACCGGGAATTCGTCCGAGGAAGAGAGGGCCATTGCCGAAAAGGGTTTCTATATGCATCCGTCGCCGGCGACGACGCCCAGGGACTCCGAGCCACGGCTTCTGCCATTGTTTCCGGTGTCCTCCCCACGAGTTCCCGGGTCTTCTTCTTGATTAATGAACGGTATATGTATGTGAGGGTACGTGAGTAATTCGTTGAGAGGAGGAGGGACTAATGAGTGTTGGAATGGATTGGAGAGACAGGTGGACAAAGATCTTTGCTTCAATTGTACAATTTGATCTCTTTCACTTCCATTGTTCCAAGTAAAGTTAAGGTCTGTTAATTTTCATTGCTTTTGAGTTTTTCTTTTTTAGCTCTTGTTTTATTTTTACTTCTCATTGCATCAGCATCAGAACCACCAACCAGAGATGAAAATCTTGAAATAATCTCTCTCTCTCTCTCTCTCTATATATATATATATATCTTAAACTGATGTTCTTTCATGTCCAATTCAGTTGTTTTTCTGTGTTTGTGTGTTAAAACAAAAAGTCATTTAGGTTTTAGGGGTTAAAGAAATGTTAATGAGTAATGGGTAGGATCAATTCATATTCTCTGCATATATGCACATTACACTCATGAATTTAAAATGCTAATGGAAGGTGGGAGTATCAAATTCTGAATTCACATGGATGAAACAATGTCAGTGGGTGGTATCAAATTCATTCATTTTCATTACTTCATCTATATTCAAACTACCTTAGATACTTCCCACACACATTCACACAAAGTACAAGAACATGACTGTGTGTGTGTGTGTGTGTGAGAGAGAGAGAGATGTTTTTAGTCTTGATGGACTAATGAAAACTCGCAGAAAGATCCTTTCCTTCGTGATAATGGCCCACTTAAAAGATATTTTTGCAGACCAACCATTTGTAAGATCTGATAATTTTGGGCATCTGATCTCTTGACCTTTTTTATTTATTTATTTATTTATTTTAAATTTGGGTAAAAAAAATCTGATCTCGACTGTTACATGACTAGTTCTGCTAAAACTTTTCACTGTTCCATTACTGAGTTGGGTTTTGCTTAGAATCTTAGGTATCTAAGTATTAGGTAAAGTTGGTTAGAAACTATGAAGAGAAGATGTTCAGTGACTCCTCCTGTATGTATTTACATCTCTCAAGAAGAAGAGAAGTCACTGTCGCTTAGTTTAATTTGCCACAAACTGATAATAGTTAGTTTTTTCTTTCTTGAAGCTATTAATGTTCTTCTTTAAAGACAAAAAAGACTAGCCCTACCCTAGTGAAATGGGAACGCAAGAAAGGAAAATTGGGAGGAGGAGAGAGAAAGTGGGACTGATTATGACTCTGATTGAAAAAGAAGTTATTAGAGTATGATCAAAATGACAATAAAGCAGGAAAATTGTGATGCCTTTTCCCTTTTCCCTTTTCCTTTCCTTTTTCCTTTCCTACACACACACACATATATATACATATTATATGTATGTGGAATATGAAGTGGAGGCACTGGATTAAAAATAGCAAGTACATTGAACCAAAATTTGGGTAGGACAATTTAGTACTTATTTGATGCAAGTTGAACATTTTCTAATGCTCCTACTTCTGATGTCAATGGTTTCCTAACTGACCTACATATAAGTAATTTTCAAATCTATGCGGATTATAATTCTTTAACATTGACTGATTACCATAATAATAGAATTAGAAAAGGACATTTTGTTCACCTCTTTACCAGGCACACACTTACCAGTATCACTCCATCCTCAATTTGGATATAGATTGCTTTTCAGTCATACCTAATTTAATTATGAAAGTTTGTAAATCTTATTAAAGTTATATAAACTAATAATGATGGGTGGTCACTTGATTTGACATGCACGAATAATAAAATATAATTAATTACAGACTCATAATAATTACCAAGCAATTAACAAGTTGCCGTTGTAAACCACTAATGAGCATATCCCTTCAAGCACAACTTATGGGCATTAGTGTAAATTCAATTGAATTTGATATTAATACAATTTTTTCAGTGTGATTTCTGAATGAACTCTGCCATTTATATAACATGTAATTAATTGAGTAAACAAGCATGAGCTTGATATAACCCAAAGCCAGACCAGTAACTATATGCACTGCAAATCAAAAAAAAAGGGGAGCAACAAAACTTAAAAACAATCAGTTTGTTCCGAAGTAGGAGTTCTTTATTCATGCATATTTTTACTAATTTGTAACAATTACATTCAATGAGATTACAGAAGGATACATCCATTCTTAGATTTCTGAAAAAGAATTTACTATCCGAAATCCATGATTCTCCGGAAGAGGTCCGTTTCCCGGGCGGACAGAAATTATCACCTCCAAACCTGAAACATATATTAGGATTCAAATACCAATGGTAAGTTCATCTGAATAATAAACGTAAGGTTCATTCAGAAATCACACTGAAAAAATTGGTAGAATCATTGCAACAAATGTGTCATCAACAGCCTTCGAAATAAATCTAGGGCTTTGGGAAACAGAAATTCAGTCAGCCGGTTCAAAATAGTATTATTCCCCTCAGCACCACAATCCCTTTTCCTACTAATGCTTGGGGAATTCTTTTAAACCTGATTTCTACCACTTCACAAAACAAATTTCAGACGTTTGGAATGACACTGTTTGTCAGGCAATAACTTACAGTTACTCAAAAGGGAAAATTTAGATTTTTCCTTTATTTTTTATTTTTTTTATTATTTTTTTTTGATAAGTCAAAATGTTGGAATTTAAATCACAAGTATTACCTGCTGCCTTTGCAGCTATGGCTTCTTGAATGACATCTGTCACAAATAAAATCTCTGACGGCTTATCTACTCCTAAGGACTCTGAGATTTCAATATAACTCTTTGTTTCCTTCTTGTTCCTGCCCAGAATAGAAGATAAAGATGGTTTAAATAGAATCAAATGGTATTGGAAAAGCATCATAAAACAGAGCAGTGCATTCATGAAATGATAAAATTTACCCCACTGCTGTATCGAAAAACCCACACAAGTACTTTCTCAAGTCCCCATAATTCGTATTGCCAAATATAAGCCTCTGTGCCAATCTGCTACCACTGGAATATATATACACCTGAAGGAAGAAAAGCAGGATCAATATATCAAGAGTCATTTAGAGTTGCTACCGAGAAGAATTAGGTGCAAATGGAATCTATTGGTAGCATTCAATAACTCCAAAAAATATATATATATCATATATAGTAAGGGAAATCAGATGGAATGGCACTAATTATGAAGCAAAAACCAAGAAACAACCAAAATAAACACAAATATAGCAATATTTGCATCATTCTCTTTGCTGAGGGCCTTTAGTGCATAATAGAATCTTCAGGCCAAAATTATTGATTAGGGCTAAAGGGAATTTTCTTTGTGCAAATACAGCCAGAGGCTGCATCTGTACACAATCAAGTCCTTCCAGCACCTCAATTAGGCACAAATTTGGGTATTGGCCTTATTAAGTAGCATGCCACTGATCTATCTCCCATATCACGAAATCTTGCTAATTAGCCTAATTATAATTTTATTTACTCATATATCTGAATATAATGATAAAATAAACAGCTAAAAATGTTTCAAGTGGTATTAGGAACTATATTAAAGGAATAATATCCATCGAAGATTTGCAGAATATGTTTATCCAAGTCCAGAATACTTTGATTGAGGCAGGGTTGACTGATCGAAACATTGCCAGGGCTGACTGATCAGAATTCTAAAAGGTTTATTTTCTTTTCCTGATTACAACTAAGAAACCCCAAATCTTTTGGACTAAAAGCACTATATAAACACCTCATAACACACATAAACATAGATAAAAGATCTCTCTTCACATTATTAAGAGCACATTAGAGAGGGCATATATTTTAGAGAGCATATTTTTCTTTTCATCATCTAGCATTTTGCATTAGATGGTTGATTATTATACAGAGTATTAATCATCAACTTGTGAAGCTTAAATCGTTATCAACGCCAAATCACATAAACAAATGACAACCACATGTATTCAGGGGGGAAAAAAAACGCGTCAACCACATGTCACTGGTCATTGGAGACCAGAAGTCCATGGAGAAGCAATCTGTAAGGAGCGAGTCAGTTGATGGATCAGTGGCTGGAGGATCTGGATTCGGTTTTGCTTAAGTCTGAGTTGGAAGGGACTAAGGGATTCTTGCCTTAGAGTCTGGTAACTTAGTTTGTAACTTCTTTCTTGTTGAAGGATTTAAATATTTAAGTTACACCCTCTCTATTTTGTTGATGAATTTCAGGCTTTCAGCTTAAGCTTTTAGAGTATAGCCAAAAGGATCAAGTTGAAAATTCTACATGTTTCAATGGGACAGAAGCTAAATTTATTTCCAAACTCTCTATTTTGGGACCAATACATAAGGGTTTTGGAAAAAATTAAAAATGGTGGTGGTGGGGGGGTGGGGGGTGGATGGCCCACCCCTGCTTGGATCTATTAACAAATCATTTGAAGACCAAATTACAAGAAATCTAAGAAATTAATCATCATATAGCTCTCTACCAGCTTCACTATATTTAAAGATCATAGAACTTAAAAGGATATATTTTCAATTTTTCTTTTTATTTTTTTGCTGCCTTTTAACAATGTGTGTGTTGGGTTTGGGGGGGTGGGGTTGGAAGGAATTAATTTTTCAATTTAGAATATTGAGGAGATAAAAAAGCACATCAAGTATTAAAATATCTCCCTAGTACAGAATCAATAAATAAATGTAAAATTTCAGGGGACAATAGCATATGTCTTCTACAGGTCCACTTCTTTTTTCTTTCTTCTCTCTCTACCAGTCTCGAAACCTCAACCTAGGACTTGGGGGTTAAGACCCAAAGCCACTAGGACAAAGGTGGACCAGTTCTACAGGTCAACTTCACACAAATAAAGATATATATCAGTGAAGGTTTTGATACATTATAAGACAATCACTTTGGAAAAGGAACCAACAAAGAAATTTGGAATGGCAAAGGAACTAATTTCTTCCTTCAACAGGAATACCAATAAACATTTATATAAGTGAATTACTGTCTCAGGTAGCAGTTTTAACCTCATAAGAAAAATATTTGCAAATATTTTAGTATCCTCTTTTATTAATATGCTCATTTACCACGAAAAATAATGGGCAAACATAAGCAATGTGAGGATGACAAGATGTAAAAAAGATACCTTGATGCCCAAAGCATGCCACTTGTCAAGAGCTTCAGGCACATCATCAAAAACTACCCCTTTTAATTCATTATTCTGAAATCCAGTTCGCCATATATGACCCTGAACGCGTAGATGTCAGCACAAATCGTAAAGATAAACCCCAGAGTGCATGTTTCTTCCAAATTCCATTTTCCTTACTTGTAATTGTTTTAAAGCAGTAATCTTCCTGTCAGCTCTTATCATTGCTTCCACATTGGCAACCAAAGCAGCAATCACCTCCTCTTTCCCTGCATCATCAGAGGGGATGGGCACAGCATTAATAATCCCTTGTTCTAAATCATCCTGTATCTGCAAGCACATGTAGAAATCGTTTAGTTTGAAGGAGCAACTTTAGACTCCGGCTGACAAGTAAAGCAGAAAATCTTGAACACCTAAGCCAAACAGATATTGCACCAAGAACCTTGCCTTCCGGTATCCAATTCGTCTTGCACAATTTCCATTTTTTATTTGTGACTTATAAAAATAAAATAAATAAATCCAGTTTTTTGTTTCGTAGTTAATAAATCCAGTTTTACTTGTGACATTCCAACCAAGTCTCGTGCAGCAGGATATGATTCCAGCATTAAGAAGATGAAGATCATGACTTGCTTATCAAAGTCGTCTTTAGAACATTGTAGTTGTACTCATTCACAATAATAAGTTATAACTGTGTTTACTTGAAGCCCTTGAAGGTCTGTACAAGAATGGAGAAGTTCCAAAGAAATCTAATCATTTTCTTAATAGTCTCTAGTAGTATAGAGACTAATAATAAATGCACTTCACCTAAATACCAAGGAAGATTGTCATGTAATTCTTGTTCACAATTTCTTCGCCCATATGGAAGAAAATTTAGTAAACACTTCATTCTATTTAATCCATGGTGTAATTAAGTCTGACTATTACAATGAGTTCCTTGTCTGATTTTAATTCACCCTGCAAATCAACCATTGGAGGAAACACAGAGGTGGCAAGATAATCCGCTGACATTCTGTTTTGGTTGTCAATTGGTCATTTAATACTTGTATGTTTCCTTGATCAGATTGGAAGTGATAATTCAAGTTCCGAGTATGCTGAAGATAACCTTTTAAGTATTAAATAGCTTAAACAAGTGCAATTAGTTGACCAGTTGATGGTAAATCCAAATCTTACTTTGGATAAATTATATGGTTCAATTGTCCAAATTACACAAGAAGAATCTTAACCAGGTCAGTTAAAACTTAATTCCTTTGTGTTACAATTGATCTATAGCTTAGATTAGATATTAGGCCCCACCGAACAAGCAATCCTTATAAGTATTCTAAGCTGTCTATTTCCAACATTTTCTTCTAAAAAAAAAAAAAAAAAAAACATTTTCTTCTGAAACTTTCAACCCCAGTTCATCATGCAAAAGAAGAAATTGGACAAAGAAGAAGCTCCAGATGAAAAAAGAGTAGTAGGGACAAGACCTATGTATTATGATAGAATGTTCAGAGAAAAAACAATGTACATTTTTTGAAACGCAGAAGTTTTAAGAATGCTCAACTAGGAAGATTTTTGAGAATGCAATAAATTATTCACAATAGCCACAATGGATTGATCTATGGACACAGATGCCAAGTGCTGCTCATGGCAGCTACCCAAAATCCACATTCTAGGACGAAGTTTTACATGTGTTTGTGAATTCACTAAGTTAACATTTATGATTTCTTTGAATGAATTATAATGTGACTGTTAAAGTACATTACAAACTAATATAGGAATAGTATAACAAGTATATATCAGTCTCTAACAAATTTGTCAAAAAATATATATTTTTTTTCTTGCCCATTCAGAAATAAAGGTGGACTGCTTTAGATGCAGTGTTCTTGACCAAAGTGAAAAATAAAATGAAGCTTACCTGAGAGCGCAACAACTTAATGTCATCTTGAGTTTCTGCACTGTGATATGTCGCATATAAATGTCTCCCCACATTATCACGAGCATATGGAAAGAGCACATCAGTAACAAATGATATAGGAGTAGTGGTCCCTTCAATATCCAGTACAATGCAACGCTGCAACACAATTTAATAATAAAGAGTAAGATAATTTAACATGATAGACCTGAACCCAAAGACACCTAGCAAAAGGGAGAACACATAATAAACTTACTCTTGGTGACTCAATTTTATCATTTGAAATAAGAGTTCCTGCCTTTGCAGACATGTTAATGTTCCGATCACCACCTAAAACGCCTTTAAAACTAAGAATGGGACCATGATTTGGAGTAGACCAATCCACTCCCAGTTGATGAAGTTTAATTGCAGCATCAAATAGATAGTGGTAACATTCAGCCTGAAAGAATAAGTTGTTAGTTAGACAAAAAGCATATACAATGAACTCCAAAAGCTATATGGTGCCTTCATCATCATGAAGTAAAGCACATTTCAAAAAAACAAATTTAAACGACAAGTTTACGAAACTTGGGAAAGAAGGTCGAGTTGAGGATATATTTAATTTTGGGAGACTCAAAGGGAACATTTAAAAAACAAAAAATCATTTAATGACGATAAAATACATCAAAATTGCATGTTTAAATGCTATTTAAGCAAATATAGGAAATTTGATAAATGCCCCATGCAACTCAAAGAACTTTTAAATCCTACCCTTGATAATACAAACCTGAGTTTTAGCACTTATCCAAGAATCTCCCCATATATATATGCCATGGTTCCGAACCAGCACTGCTGTCGTTTTTGGGTAAGCTTCAATCTATAAAACAAGGAGAAAGATCAAATATTCTGAAGCAGTGTTGCAAGCAAGATGTATAATAATTTTTTTTCCAAAGACTTTAATGCAAGACCAACTTCTGGAGAAGGTGGCCATACAGCCTTCAGAGACATCCAAAAGCAGTCACTTTAGATCGGTCAGTACCATTATATATGTATATAACTAAAGACCAATTTAGAAAGTCTGACTGCAAACTTAATGTCTCCAAACAGTAAGAATGTACACATCATCTAAACCAGAACTCTATCGACTGAAAGCAAAAAGAAAGCATCACCTCACTTGTTTGAAGTTTCTTCCAGACATGAAACATAGAATGGTTATAATGAGGAGACAATGATGAGATCCACAATAATACCACAAATGCAAATCATAAAAGGATCATTGGACCAGCAGCTTCAAGACTGAAATCATATAGATAGTACCCACTTAGATATAATTCTTACATACATATGCAACGAACATGAAACTTAGTGTATAAAACCAAATGTTTAAAAGATTATTTCATTATAGTGCACCACATTAGACTTGTGGATACAGTTCACATAATTTTTCCCTCAAATAAAGACTAGAAGTTTATGGACGAAAGTGCAAGAAACGGTCTAGAGGGCTCAAAGATTTGTTTATACCGCTAGAGCCCAAAAATAGTGAAAGTTAAGAAAGCTGTTGTCTTCTTAGAAAATTACAGCGTGAGAGGAACCCGATTCAAGAAATAAATATTAAGTACGCTCACATGAAAATGAATTATTACATTCGTAACATGTTTCAGAATACTGGAAAATGTATGCTCTTTGTGTTTTAGGAATATACTTGTTCCGAGGTTGTATATTTTTTTCATTAAATAGATCATTGATCACAATTTTTTTTCCAGAAAAAGAAATTTCATTTCAAGTCCTTTCATTTCATAGTGAAAGATTTGTTACTTTAAATTCTTTAATGCAAACTATTTGATTTGGTGAACCGTTCACCTACCAACATTTCCACTCAAGCAGATACAAGAATTTAGTTCAATCACCCCAGGTTTAGTCTTCTTTGTACCCTTTTCTTTTCTCTTTTCAATTTTCTGTACCGGACCAACTTCAAATTTTGGCGTACTTTTATCCATTGTGTCCTTCCAACTGGCTGATTTATCAAGCAGGTCAACTGCAGTCAACTAGTTCAAGCCTTGAGGTGCAACAAAATTATATGTTAAGCACCATGACCACAACAAAATGCACAGAGGATGCCAACTGAAGCGATAAAATTTAGTTCAAATCCAACTATATATAATATATTTCACGTCTTTTATTCCAACACTTTTTTTGTTTTCAACATGGTTTAATTATTTCATATAATACTGGGTAGAAAATATATATTGTGTGATCATTCATGCATGCAAAGGTGAGGTGCCATAACAATTTGGCCATCAAGGTAATAATTGAAAAATGAAATGCTAAATAGAGTTCAGTATGCGCTGTTTATGTTTAATTTGTTCATCTGAAACAAACAGAAAAATAATAAAATAAAGTAAATCCAGTATACATACAGTCATGCAAGAGTGGAAACACAAAATCCTATTAGCAAATTTTGAGTTACTACTTCTAATGTATAAAATTGAGCAGGGAGTGAGGAATATAGGTCAAAGAAGTTACTGGAGTAAACATTCATCAGCAAAGCTAAGTAAGCAAATCAAAACTTGAAAAAGAAGTTGATATTATGCCAAGATATAAACCTATATAGTTATAAATTGTTGTTGCTAGGGTGGGCCTTGGTGCAACAGTAAGGTTGCTCCATTGTGACCTGGAGGTTACAAGTTTGAAATCGAAAACAGCCTCTCCAGGTGGAAGTAAGGGCTGCATACATCTAACCTCCCCAGACCCACAATGATGGGAGCCATGTGCACTGGGCTAGCCCTTTTATTTAGGTATCAAAAAATATTTTTTGCAACATCATGTAAAATCACAGTTGAACTTGAAAAATCACACAATAAAAGTGAAACACAAAAGTAACATACAGCTTCAGCAAGAGATTCTGTGAGCTCCTGCTCGTGGGCAGTGTTCTCTATTATGGGAACCACAAGCTCATCATGATAGCCATGCCCTTGAATTCCTTTTATCATTTCCATATGAGTGATCTGTAATTAAAATAGCAAGCACAATAATGAGATGTAACTGACCACCAGGAGGGATAACCAAAAGTCAAATCGTTTAATAAAAATGAGACATAAGAGATAACATAGAGAATCAATAAGAAAAGACGTAGTTGAACTTTTTATCCTTATTTATAAAAGCTGAAATTCAAACTTACCCGAAACTCTTTGGATGATGGATTGATCATTGTTACCACACAAGATTCCATCCCATGACTGTGTATAACAGCACCAGCATTACGCGTCTCATATGCCTGGAAATCAAGGACAAAACGGGTCTTCGTTATTTGACCAAAAAATGGGCCAGAAAGAAAAGAAATTAGTTAATCATAGATTGTACCGATAGTTACCATTCTCATGAATTTTTATAACCATATCCCCCATGAATCAGGTGATAACAAACTAAAAGAGTAAAATACATAGAGTATTCTAATGCAGTAACTACGTATTTGAGATAGCTAGGATTATAATATCAGGGATTGTGATGCAGAGAGAGGGGCTTATACAGAATTTGTAGTAAGGTTTCCTTTTAAACCATTCACCTAAAGACACCACTCTATTCAGCTCTATTCTAATAGCAGTCTAATAATCATTAGCAGCTGGATTTCATATATTATAGTTGTTTTTGCTTGGAGAAGAGCAAAGAAATAAGTCAAATTTCAGAATTTTAGAACTTTCTTAGTAAACTCAAATTTCCGCTCAACCAACGACGTAGCCAGATAGCATTGCAAAGAAGTTGCATTTTCTAGACTAATATTCCATGTTAATTACTAGGAGAATCATAATAACTAAGCTAAACATCCGCATAACGAATCATTTTTAAAAACACCAAATTGAATTTTGAACTACATGCAAAAGAGCCAACCTTTTAGACCAATTTTAGCAATTATATCAAACTATAATTAACCCGACCGAAATTGAATAAAGTATAAATAGTTAAAAAAAATCTCATTTGACATCAATGAGCCATAGGGCCCATACCTTCAAGAAGAGAGGAGCGCAATCTGAACATTTGGGAGGCTTATGGGGGTACCGCTTTGCCAATGGCGAAGACAATATAGACCCACTTGAAGAAAGCACATACATATCCTCTGGAACCATTCTTTCCTTCTGCACACCTACCCACACACAGACAAAAAAATAAATAAATAAATAAACAATTGAGAATTAAAGAATAATACCCACGTGAAATCAAGAAAGAAATTAAAAAAAAAACAACATACAAACATATATATATGCATGAATGTGAATATATGTATACAAATATACAAAAGAGAGGAGGGTAAGGGGTTATGTTAATAGCAGAATTAAGGAGACATGACGAACAATACCCATTTAAAAATAGTGACCAATTGAGCATTAATGAGCAATTCCCATGAGAAATCAAGAAATACATACAAGGACAACAACATATAGACATATGTGTGTGTATGCCATGTGAATGTGTATGTAGAGGGAGAGAGAGAGGGTGATACCAGAAGGGGACATGAGGATGAGCTGGTTGGGTTTGGGGATGGAGTCATCGTGGACCTTGATGGTGATGCTGCCACCTGTTCCGGAGACCCATCCGAGGGTGTAGAATTGACGGCAAAGGTCTGATATCAAAACCTTAGTTTCTTTGACTCTGCTGCTTTCAAGATACGCCTGTGATGTGGTCACCATTTTCAGTCCGTTCACGGCTAGTGGCGCAGCTGAGGCTGCAGCAGCAGCCATTGTCAAGCCCGCTCTCTGATACTTTATGGTTTAGAGAGAGAGAGAGAGAGAGAGAGAGAGAGAGAGGGTGTGTGGGTAGAGAGGGAGAGAGCTGTGCGGATGCGGGGCGGGCCGCGGAGGTTGGTTCTGTGGGTTAAGGCATACAAATTAATTGAGCTGTGATTCTGTCTGCCAGCGGTGACTGCTATATGGAACATGATTGGACCAAGTGGCATTTGACACTCCTATTTAATAGAGTGATTAATGCTAAACCTAAATGGCTGTTTAGTTTGCACTTCCATTCATCTTTTTCTCCCCAGTGAAACAAATCAAACCATCTTTTCCACGGATTGGCATATCATTCTCAATTTTTCGTTCGGATCCAGGTAAATCCATTCTGTGTAAAATAAGAAAATAAATATATTGAAATATTTCATGAGATCCCATGAACCAGAATGGAACAGATTGCCCAAGTTATAATATAAATCAATATAGACCTAGTAATCATTACTATACTTGGTGTTAAGGAAGCTACTGTAAAAAAATAAAAATAAAAATTCATTTCAGAATTAGAAAAGAGAAAATTGTTGAGTTCTTTGGATTATGGTACAAGTGTACAACTTATGTTATTTTAAGACCACGGGCCGAAAAAGCATACTGGTCGGCCCAACTTAAAGGTCCAACTACAAGCTTCTAAACTACAAATATATATATATATATATATATATGAATTAATTGTCCTATGGATTAATATAAAATAAGTTAAAATTTAAAGAAAATAAGTTGAAAAGAAAATGTTCATAATGAAAATATAATATATTTAAAATTATAAATATATAAATAAAAAAAATAGACTTAAAATTCAATTTTAAGTTGTAATGTGGTGGAATACACCACTAAATTAAGAAGCACATTAAATTTCAATTGAAATGGACCACACGAAAGTTAAATTCGTAAAAAAGGATAGACATATATGAATCAAATGGATTTATGACAATACTTTATGACTTAAATTTACAGTCCCCTAAGAGAATAGCTGAGCTGGGCCTGGTTTGCACCACCCACATTTTACTCAGTACGCTGGCCCAGGCCCTATCTAGCACAAACTTTTGTCACTCAACCTCCAGCAGCTTTTTTATTAGTTTATGAAGCTTTCTTTAAGCTTTAAGGTTTTTTTATTTTTTATTAATTCAACTTACTTTATTTTCTATAAGGTCTAATAAGAATTGAAATTTTCACTTTTTGATTTTTTTTTTTTTTTTAATTTCTAAATTTATAACCAATCTCAACCTAAGTTTAAACCTTAATTTTAATATAAAGTGTTCCGAATTTGTGTCCAACGCACATCATTCAGACATGAATATGACCATGTGTCCAATATATTTTGTTGGTGAAAAAAGTTAAGTGCAAAAAATCCCTTTAATATATAGGGTTTGTGCAGACCTAATCCTTATTTTTTAAAAATATGCATGTTAATCCATAAAATTTAAAAAATGTGCAAATAAGTCCATCTATCCACTTTTTCACAAAAACTAAATATAAAAATCCTATTTTACCTTTTTGATTCTCTTTTTTGCCTCTCACCCGTGTATGCAAATTACCTGTACCCATTTCCTCCCCCTCTCTCTCTCTCTCGGGTTAGAAAATTTTTAAGTGTGTCTTATGATATATATATATATACATTTCCTCCCCCTCTCCCCCTCTCTCTCTCTCTCGGGTTAGAAAATTTTTAAGTGTGTCTTATGAGATATATATATATATATATATATATATATATATATATATCTCATAAGACACACTTAAAAATTTTCTAACCCGAGAGAGAGAGAGAGGGGGAGAGGGGGAGGAAATGTATATATATATATATCATAAGACACACTTAAAAATTTTCTAACCCGAGAGAGAGAGAGAGGGGGAGGAAATGGGTACAGGTAATTTATATATATATATATATATACAATTCAATAGATTACAATTCAGGCAGGAGAATGATTTGGGAACTCTTCCATTTTATATATATATATATATATATATATATATATATATCTCATAAGACACACTTAAAAATTTTCTAACCCGAGAGAGAGAGAGAGGGGGAGAGGGGGAGGAAATGTATATATATATATATCATAAGACACACTTAAAAATTTTCTAACCCGAGAGAGAGAGAGAGGGGGAGGAAATGGGTACAGGTAATTTATATATATATATATATATACAATTCAATAGATTACAATTCAGGCAGGAGAATGATTTGGGAACTCTTCCATTTTATATATATATATATATATCTCATAAGATACACTTAAAAATTTTCTAACCCGAGAGAGAGAGAGAGGGGGAGAGGGGGAGGAAATGTATATATATATATATCATAAGACACACTTAAAAATTTTCTAACCCGAGAGAGAGAGAGAGAGGGGGAGAGGGGGAGGAAATGGGTACAGGTAATTTATATATATATATATATATACAATTCAATAGATTACAATTCAGGCAGGAGAATGATTTGGGAACTCTTCCATTTTCTTGCCAGAGCAGCTCGATATGATTTTGTTTGAAATTAGGTTATTAGACCCCACTATCTGAACCAAGTAAATGGGAGTCAAAGGGATTGAAAATGATGCTATAAAAAGCGTCGATCGAACCAGTCTCGTGGTAGATCGTCTTTTGACGGACGCTTGCTTTTTTGCATCTTTACGTTATTCATTCTTTGATTCATTTCCACAGAGCAATGAGACTTAGAAAATCCAATATTTCTCGCGCCTTACAAGTTCTCCTCAAGAGTGAGCTTTCTTTTCTTGTCTTTGATTGGACCTGCGTCCAGTGTTGTTTAGTTAGCTTCGTTTTTGTAGAATCCAATGTAAATGTTTGGAGAATACAATTGTGAAAGTCATAAAAGGAATCAATGATTTGTTGAATTGTTTATTAATAAACACAATTTTATATAAATTAGACAAAAAAGTCATTTTACGGTATTTATAATTATTAATTTATTCAACTGAAGTGAAGGTATTATCGTTATTTTATATCATACAGGGACCTATTTGCACCAAATTGATAGTATAAGGGTTTTTTTTATCACACAAGGACCAATATGCACTATATCAATAGTGGAGAAGAGTTTTTGGCACTTAACCCTATTAAAAATGAAAGAAATGTTTATATTTAATAACATTAATTACTCTAAAAGGCAAAATAAATTAAGAGTAATGATTTTGTTGCACCGAATGTTTCTGGTTGGTTATTTATGCATAATACATGTAAGTGGAGGGTCCTACTTCTTTATTTATGTATAAATGGATGGATTAAAATAAATAGGTAACAATTCATTACAACAAATGGGCATAAATAAAGAAGTGGGCCCTTATATATAAATAACTAATCAAAAACGTTTGGTGTAACAATTCAGCGTAACAAATAAATGCAACAATTCAGCGTAACAAATCGGTACAAATATTATTAAATAATTAATAAAGTAAATATTTAACAGTTTTTATCTGCGATTGTGTTTTGAAGATTTGACAGTGACAGACACGTATAAACTCGTAGAGTGCGTGTAACAAAGTCAAGCACACCTTGGTGTAGACTGTAGTCAAGCTAGAACAAGCCTCCATTGAATCCACTGCCGACTATCTTGCTTTTGTCATCATCATCATCATCATCAGCTGTGATAGTACTCCATCCCATCCTATATTAGGTCCACGTATTAAATATTTATATTTCCGTTAAGCCTAAACATTTTGCCACGTGTAAAATACCATATATAGCTAAGAATTAAAACGCAGGTGAGTTATTACACGGAGCTTAATTACCAAACACCCATTCCGAAATTGCTTATCTGCAACGGTAACCTCTGTACAAACTCTCTATATAATCCAACACCTCCTCTGCTTCACTTTCCATTCTCTCTCTCTCTCTCTCTCTCTCTCTAACCTTTCACACCGATTCCGTGAAGTTCCTTCTCCTTCTCTCTGTGAATATATATAAAATTTTATTCATATATATTTATAGATCATTCTGACCCACATGGCTTTTCAGAGATTTCTCTGCCTTTTCTTGATTATCTTCACTGGTTTAATCTGTACGTCCAACGCTTATAGATTCATTGTTGGTGGCGGAGACGGTTGGGTCTTAAGCCCTTTTGAGAACTACAACCACTGGGCTCAGAGAAATAGGTTTCAAGTCAATGACACTCTCTGTAAAGTCTCTCCACTTGTTAATCTAATTTTTTATTTCATTGTTGTGATTTTTGGTTTATATACTATAATAATAAATGATCATACTCTCTCTGTAGCCTCTCTTAATTGTGTTTTTGTAGTTAAATATTGATTTGGTTGATTTGATTAATTTTTTGGTTTGTGGGTGTTGATTATTTGTAGTTTTTAAGTACAAGAATGGATCAGACTCTGTTCTAGTTGTGAAGAAAGATGATTATGACAAGTGCAACACAGAGAAGCCAATCATGAAGATGGACGATGGTGATTCAGTCTTCAAGTTTGATCGGTCGGGTCCATTCTTCTTCATCAGTGGAAACAAAGATAATTGCCAAAAGGGTCAGAAGCTCATCGTTGTTGTTTTGGCAGTCAGAAACCATCACAAGTCTCCTCCGGCGCCGGTGGGTCAGACTCCGGCATCGTCACCGTCACCAACAAAGTCCTCCCCTTCGCCGGCCCCAGCTACAACACCATCTCCAATTTCTCACACTACGCCGGCAACTTCACCGTCACCCACAGGATCCTCCCCTTCGTCGGCCCCATTCACAACACCCGTACTGTCACCATCTCCAATTTCTCACACTCCGCCGGCAACGTCACCCATCTCTCCATCTCCGGTGACTATGCCTCCGGTAAGTTCTCCGGTGCGAGCTATGACACCCAAATCGCCTTATCCGGCTACCCACTCCCCGGTCCCGCCTCCAACCTCAGTTGTCTCACCGGCACCGTCAATTGCACCAGTAACCGCTTCTCCAGTGAATACTCCGACAACCTCGCCTTCTGCAGCACCAATAGTTGTAACTCCTCCATCTCCATCGACATCATTGCCTCCGGCGACGTCTAGCTCCGGCAGTCCTACGGCGGACGTCATTGCACCGACACCACCTCGTTCATCTGCACCGGCTGTTTTTACTCATTCAGTTGTGTTTGTGTCATGGTTGTCACTTGTGTTGAGTGTGGCTCTGTAAGTGCTCACTAGGATCATGAAAAAAATATGATATAGAACTGGGTTTTGTTCATCGGTGGATTCCATTAGTCCTTGTTATTGATTTGTTCGTTTCTGGTTTCTTAGATTATTGGACAGATGGATTTGGTATTATTTTTTATGTTTTGATCGGTGTTTGATTGAGTTTTAATGGACATAATGTACGCATTTATGAGTAAATTTTTCTGTTTCTATATATTAATACATTTTTGTATTAATGGGTGATTATGAACATACTGTATTTATTTATTCAGTTTATTTTGAGATATACAATAAATATATGCCAATATATATTTTCATGTATTTGTTATATAAAACATTGGATAGTGACATTGTGCCACTACAAACCCCTTAAAAATTTTGACTTGGTACTTTCTTTTAAATATATATCTTTTTTAAAAAAGAAAATGACAATCTTCTTCAATATGCTTCATAATCATTTCCAAAATATTACAATTTTCTTTTGAGGAGTAATTTTTTCGTTTTCTTTGATAAGAAATAAGTGAAATGTAATTGTACAAATGTTGAATGTAGTGTACATATATAAGTTATGAAAAAAATATATATATAAATATATATATATATTATTTAAAAGCATTCTATCAAATAAATCAATGAGACTATCTATTTTACTTGGAAAATACTCCTACTCATTCACAAGATTCACTTTTTTTTTTTTTTTTTTTAATCCTCACAAATTAAGAGAGAGAAAACTTGAGATATTTTTAATTATGACATGTTAAAAAAAAAAAAAAAAAAAAAAAAAAAAAAAAAAACTCAAATAAGACCATACCAATATCACTGTTCACTTATAGTGATGAGTGTTCCATCCCATCCCATCCAATTGGATATGTGCTCTCTTGTACCATTTGTCCATTTTCAAAGCAATGAGCATGGACATGATAAAGGCGGATACCTGGTCGAGACGTTATTGTACTATTATTAACTTATTGATTACACATTAATCATTATAAAAGAGTCACGACAGTTAGAGGCCCATCAATTATTATGGCGAATCAACTTTTGTATTCATCTTTTGAACATATATGCTATGTGGTGTATATGCTATGTGATGTTTGGTGTGCAGTATTTGTTGTGCAAGAATGAAATATATGTAAAAATGAAATGAAAATGAGAATTAGAATGGAATAAAATATAAGTAAGAATGAGAATTAGAATAAGAATGGTCATTCTCATTATATTATTTGGTTACAAATATGAAATGTATATGAATGGAATGATAATAATCATTTTATTATTTAGTTAGACCAATTTTACATTTAAAATGAAATAAATTTCAAATTGAGTTTTTCAAAATATCCTTGTTAGTAAAAAATAAATTAAATTAACAAATGACATTCTTCTATAATCTTTTAAAAATAAATGATGGTAGTGACTGTGGTGAAAATGAAAAACGATAGTGGTGTAGGTGGTGGTGTTAGAAGGCGGCGGCGGTGGCAATGGTGGAAGGCGGCAATGGTGGCAAGGGTGTTGGTGGTAGTGGAAGGAGATAGTGGTATAGGTGGCAATGGTGGAAGCCAATGGAGATGATTGTGGTGATGGTGGAAGGCAGTGGAAATAGCGGTGGTGGAAGGTGGTGGCGGTGGTGGAAGACGGTAGCGGTGGTGGTGGTGGAAGGTCTTGGAAGGCGATGGCGGTGGTGGTGGTGGAAGGCAGTGGCCGCGGTGGTGGAAGGCGATGGTAGTGGTGGAAGGTGGTGGTGGTGATGAAAGGTGGTGGTGGAAGGCAGCGGTGTAAAACGATAGCGGTGATGGCAATGGTGGTGGTGGTGGAAAGTGGTGAAAGGCGATGGCGATGGTGGTGGTGAAAAACGGTGGCGGCGGCGGTGGAAGAAGGTGGTGGATAGCAATGGCAATGGTGGAAGGTGGTGGTGGTTGTGGCGGCAGAAAGCGGTGGTAAAAAGAGGTGGTGGTAGTGATGGTTGGGGCAAAAGAAGGTGATGGCGGTGGGTGGTGGTGAAAGTCGGTGGTGGTGGTGGAGGAAAGCGGTGGTAGTGGTGGTGGTGAAAGTCGGTGGTGGTGGTTGTGGTGGAAGATGATGGTAATTTTTGAACTTAGAACATGAGGGTTTTTTGGAAAGTTGATTTTTTAAAAAAAATTTACTTGAGAATAGAATAGTCATTCCATAGGTTTAGTTGTGAAATGGATTTTTATTCCATTTTTGCACACCAAACGTAATAATAAAGAAATGTACTTAAGTGAGTTTTCTTTAAAAAAATTCATATTTAAATTTTGACATTTTTAAAATTTATACACATAATTAAAGAGTAACGCTATATCAAAAGCATTTTTACAATTAACTGGACTAACGGATGATATCGTATAAAAGTCAAAGATTGAGAGGTGATTGTGAGATAGCATTTTTTATATTAAAAAAAAAAAAAAAAAAAAAAAAAAAAAAAAAAAAAAAAAGAAAACCACAAACGCATATGTATTATTTGTTCACATATATAATTAATTGCCAAAATTTCGATGATCAATTATAGCATTTTTTTATAATGATATCCGCGCATAACAATCTTATAAAGTCTATAAACAAAATTAAGTGGATCTCAAAGTGGTTAAAAAAAAAAAAACTAAAGAGTATGCTTGGTTTAGTTTTTTCAAAACAGTTTTTTATTTTTAAAATTGAAAATAAAAAAATTATACAAAATTTATTTAATTGGCAGTTAAAAAAAAAAACTATTTTATTAAAACTCAATTAAAAATTATATCTATTTTTATACCTTGTATAACTGTCTTTCATAATTTTTTAAAAACAATTATCTATTTTTTAAATTCTTAATAACTATTTTCTAAGTAAAAAATCAATTAAACAAGCTCTAAATCACTATATCAAATCCTACTGACTCGCATATTTGATTTTTATAGTATCATCTTCAATGCACTTTAATGGCTGTTTGGGGTTGCTTCTTTACCACTGAAAAATACTTTTATTTTGAAATTTTGGGGTCGAATATGTGTGGTGAAAAATTAAAGGGCTTATAGGTGGTAGATGTTAAGTTAAAAAAGCACGTTTAAGTGAAGTTAGAAATTGTAATTTTTAAAATTACGTTGCATGTAGAGGTTTATCATTTTAGGTAATTAATTTTTTAGAAACAATGTAATTCCTTTCTATTTTTTATAAATGCAATTTTGTCTCTGTTACAAACAAATACCAAATGAACATCCTAATTTTTTTGGGACTCTGTAAAGGCAAATGAATATCCTAATTTAAATAAATATTCTAGTTTTTCTGGAATTTGCAACTACCTTCCAACCTCACCAGTGCGGCCACGTCTTGTTATTTAATTTAAATATTACATAGCATATGAATGAGTTTGTTTATTTTACTGTATTATTAAAAGATTCCAAATCAAATACAAATTAATAATTATTAAATTATTTATATATTAGTACTCAATAAAAATATCATATCATAAAAAAAATATGTGATTGATCTTCATAAATTATTGAATTCATTAGAAATTTATAATATTGAATATTAAAAAATTAACACATGTTTATTAGTGCAGGGGTAATATAATAAAATTAGTAATAAAAGTGTTTTATACAATATTATTACCAAACAAATTTAAAAAAATTTAAAGTACAAAAAAATACTTTATACAATATGTCATTAAAAATATAATTATATTTTACTGATAATAATTTCATGACAACTCCTCTTTTTTCCCACTTTGTGAGACGGTTGAAGTCAGTGATTTGGGTCTTAATGGGGGGAGGTATCTTCGGCTTCGAGTAGGTGTTGATCTTTCCAAGCCATTCCACGCGAGGGGGTTAAATTTGTTCACAGTGGCAGCGACGGTGGACGAAATTCCGATATGAGCGCCTTCCTTCCCTGTGTTTTAATTGTGGTCGGGTTGGCCATGATTTACACTCTTGCCCGTCGCCGTTAGCTGATCTAATTGGTGATCGACAATTTAGTTCGTGGTTGAAGGCTTCAGGTACTGCGGTTAAATTGAGGAAAGGTCCTAAATGTTCGGCATCCAACAGTTCTTCGAAGTCTTAGGGTGCTCAGTCAGTTGGCCCTCTTGTTCCGGTTCTCGGCAGTTGTACTGGTGCGGTCTGTAGTGGTAACGGTGACTCTTCACCGTCTCTTGATTCTAGTGCCACTGCCAATCAGGTTCGGTGTTCAACATCAACTGTTGTCCCCTCATCCTATCATATACGTGTCAATTCTTTACAGGGGCTAGTGGATTCCATGTCGATTCCCCCTTATCATTTCCTTTGGATTAAACAAGGTCTCATTTGTCTTCTGATGGGCCGGTGGCCCACGAGCTTGGACCTGGGCCTAGTGTAATACCCCTAATTTTAAAAAGGATATTCCTGGTATTTAATGGTATTTAATTTATTATTTAAGTGCATTTTATTTGATTATGTGTCATTATTTTTTATTAGGTGCTTAATTGTTTTCTTTTGTGGTGATTTAATTTAATTAAATGATATTTATTTTTAGTTATTTGATTGGAATTACTTGTTAGTGTTTTAATTATTTAATTGGCATTAATGGTTTAAGTGTAATTGGTTTAGTTATTTGATTGGAATTACTTGTTAGTGTTTTAATTATTTAATTGGCATTAATGGTTTAAGTGTAATTGGTTTAATTATTCTATGTGTGTCTTATTTTATGTGTGTCTTATTTGGTTTAATTGGGTTTACTAATTAGTATTTTGTTCAATTAGATTATTTGTTAAGTATTTAATGGTGAATAGGGTAATTAGGTAAATACATCTAACTAGGGTTTTAATTACAGTATAAATTAGGGTTTTATATTATAGCCGTCGTAGGTTTCTACGTTAATTGGATGGCCCGGTTAGGATTGTGAGTTGAACTTAAATGAATCTAGGGTTTAGGAAAACTCTATAAGTATAAGGTAGACGTCTGTGTAGGGTTTTTTTTAAACAAAGCACACGTTTTGTGGAAGTGGAGAAGGAAAAACGCAGTTTTTCACATTCTGCCTATGTTTGATCAAAGCTCCGATCCTACTTCGTCCGTGGTCCGATCGAGCTAAATTTTGGAGGAGAGGTTCACGACTCAGTGACGCACAATCTGAACGGTGGAGATCAGAGTTTGACCTCGGGAACAATGATTCGTACTCGTGAACAGTAACTGGGTCGCACAGGTTTTTTCCATTCTACCCAGATTTCATCAAACATC